TACCAGAAAAGATGACTTAGGTTGGATAGTTAAAAAATCTTCTCTCTATTGCTGGGGAGCTGACACACCAAAACACAGGATGTTGTAGATTCTCCTCCTCAGCCTACCTTCAAAAAATCCTGCAAAAAATCTGCTGGGGAGGGTCCCCTAAGGCAGTTGGGCCCAGCCATTTTGGTATGGGTGTCACAAATTGACCCCATACCCTTCAAGTGCTACTCTGATCCCCTTCCGCTACCTGCTCTGCCACCCTGCCACAGTACTGCCTGTTTGCTCCCCAATCTGCCATGTGCCACAAGTTGGCCAGCCCTGGTCTAATGATACTTTCCAGTCCCCTACACTGAGTCAAGATCAAGAGGACTACTTGAGACCCCTTCCAGCTCTACATTCTTCTGACTATGCCAAAGGTAGCTTCAGCAGCCAAAACTTTTTGTCCACATAGCCTTTTAGTAGGTCAAATACAAACAAGTATAGAACAATACAGTAAAAACACAAAACTTCCTATCAATCTCTCTTGAACAATGAGTATGTCTCAGTGTTGGCAGTACTTGGAATTCTCCCCCACAACACAAATAAGAAGTCTCCTGAAGCAGGTTCCTCCAGATATTGCTGTTTGGTTTTCTAAAGGATGTTGTGTTTCATTTAAAATTTAAATAATCTACTTTAGATCATGGTTGGATACACATGTTGGCTTACTGTGATCAAGTACAGCAGGCTTCAGAAATTCTAGCTGCTGAAAAGCTTTTTCTGCCTGGGAAAGGGGTATTGCCATAAAAGTATCCACGCAGTTAATCTCTTTGAAAACTCTACTCCCTTCTAAAAGGGATAATGCTTATTGGTCTGGGATAACACAGAGCCACCTTCAATTGTAAAAAGAACGACAAAATGGACTTTTCCCACAGGAAAGGCTTCAATTTATCATAGTCAAGGTCAGCCCCTGACCTCACTTCTTCAGTGAGGTTGTAGAGCTTATTTAGAGCTCATTAAGACAGGCAGATGAGCTGGCAAATATATGACAACATGTACACAGGCAGCAATGATTAATCCTTTACTAAACTGAAATGCAACGCGGGGCCTTTCACAGCAATGTCGCCTCAGGACTGATTTGGCATTTGTAAAGCAATTCAGAAAAGAAAGTCACCACATCACCATTTATACAAGAAAATATGTGCTTATGGCAAAACTTATACAGCACATTCCATGGCTGGACAGCCACCTATACCAAGCAACCTCAGCTGATAGTAGAGTTGTTCTACTATGTAAGTGGATAAAATCATGATGTCTCCTTTGTTTTCTGCAAAAAAAACACCCTGCCTCATTTTGTAAAGCATCTCTCCTTGATCCACCCTCCTTGAAATTAATTCACAGCTCCTTATAGTTACATCATCATCAACACCACCACAAAATGACCACAAGGTGATCCCACAATGGTACTCACATTAGAAAAGGTATACTAAAAGCAAATCAGTCCTTAATATTTATTCCATTACATAAACAGAAGATCAAGGAGGCTCTCATTAAAATTTAAGATGTTAAATTTAGAACAAATGGAATGTGGGATTATCAGAAGTGCCTAACTCTGTCCCACTGAAAACACCACTTTACCACCAAGTTTCAAACACAGTATAGCAAAAATTGAGCCTACACATAGCTAAAAATCCACCCACAATTTTTTCTACAGCAAAATTATTTTTCTGCCACTGTAACTGGGTAGTCTGCTAAAACTACATTTCTGTATTGCAATGCATGAAGATAACCTGAAAATTTAATTCTACTTACAAAGCAAGTTCACTGTAAATTGATTCCATCATTTTTATACAGTATATATTTCAAGTACATACAACATATATAGCTGAATATACAGTACATATAATCATACACATATGAAGTGTCCACACTTTAAAGGAGAGGTTTTGAAAACAGAACTGGATCTTTCCCTCACCAAAGCCAAGTGATTTTAGCTTTAGTCAGCAACTAACACTTTCCAAAGGGTCAGCAGTTGATTGGTCGCCCATCCATGTACAACACTGGACAAGGGGCAAAACCTGACTCTTAGCAGTTTGTTTTGTGCATTAACACCATATTGCTCCCTCTTTCTGATGGGAAGTGCGGAGTGGGAAAGGGCTGGAGGAGAGGGAGAATGGGGACAAAACCTGGTCTGCAGTTTTCATATTCCTCCAAGTACAACAGCTGATGGATATCACTGTAAAATGAAATACTGTGAAGGGAAAACATGACTGAGATTAACATTATTTTAGGCAAGGCCTGCATTAAGTCACTGATTTGTTGCATACTTTTTAATCCCTCCTCCAACCCCACTTTTTCTGCTGACCATACAAGCATTTTAACACAGGGAGAAAAAATTAAGGTCAGGCACCAACTCACAAAATAAGTATCATTAAGGCTATATCATCTGCATTAACATCAATTTTAAATAACAACAATAAAAAAAATAAGATATTCCTGCATACATATCTACAGCAGCTAATCACATGTGACAAGTCATACTTAACCAGAGGGTAAACCTGTGAAATGGAGTCCGTGAGGTAGATTTTTTTTCTGGATACCCAAAATAGAACATAGAAAAGTTGCTCTGGCCTATCACAGAGGTGGCTAACATCACTGAAATAAGTCATTCTTTACTTACAAAGTTTGTACAACATGTAGCGATACACACAGCTATGGAATACTGACATTAAAAATACTGTGCTACCTAGCAATGAAACAAAATCTCACGAGTGGAAGGAAGGGGACTGGACAAAAATGGAGTGAATTTTACAGGCAAGGAGCTCAAACAAAATTTATATTTCAAGTGTCTGAGCATAAAAATTCAAAGAACAATTAATCATTATGAAAATGTAAAGGAGGCTACACAGTGCACAGTCTGAAAAACTGGTGGGGGAGGTGGAAGCACAGATTACCACGGCTTCCCCACTGCCAAATTTCCTGAGCCATTAGGGAACCAGTCATAAAGACCTTCTACATATGCACGTGGCATGGTAAGAGGTGCAACTCTTGGGATCACAGATCAGATCTCATGGCACCTTTAAATGAACAATGTGCCAGTGGCCCCAGGCTCAGTAAGCACCCCACTGGAAGTGATGTTTCAGGCTAACATTTCCTGGATTGGCAGGAAAAGCAGCTTGGGCTAGGCCAGGACTCTCCAGGAGCATAGGAAAGGAGGGATAAAGAGTTTAAAATCACAGGTGGGCATGGTCAGTTGATAGAGCTCATATGGACACTTCAAGCAAACCAATTCATAAAGAGAAAAACTAAGGGGAGCCACAGAAATGCTTACAAAGCATTTAAACACACAGTAGGTTTTTTGGGGCCTCTGCATAGCCCAAGTAGTACTGTATTCCAGCAGCTTCAATTTCTTCAGCTACTTGAGTAGGGGTAAGGGTGCTTAAGTAACTGAGAAACCCAGGTCCTAGCTCTGCTAGAGAAATCAGAGACTGTCACCATGCAAAAGCTCATCATAAGACAGGAGGCTTTCAGTTTTCATTCCAAACTAACCAAGGGTAACATCTTCAAAATCATTTAAGTAAATCCTTCAGTTATTTAAAGTGGATTGAGCACTAGGCCAGAGCAAAAAGGAGAGAAAAAGGAGGAGTATGAACACAGTTATTTCATTTAGAAAAACCTCAGAACAAACTGGATCATTTTCTCTCTCAACCCTTCTTTCCTACATAAGCCCTTTATTCTGCACCAACCCTACCAAGCAAGGGGTACACCTTAGTGTTAGACCTACATTGTCTTTGGAGGTGGCAGTCTTTATGTGATTAAACAGCACAGCATAAGCAACAAATGCCTCAAAATAGAAACAATGAAGTATTTTTGCGTTATAAAGCAATTACGACAACTGAAAGATGTAAACACATTTTACTTCCAAGCTAGCTGTTTGCAAGCTCCATGACAAGCACAACAACTTAACACAAATCATGATTTAGAAGAGACATACAAAAAGGATGGAAGCCTTTTTCTGCTAACTCAGCAAATATACACAAGTCAGACATCAGCATAGGACTAGGCTAGGGCTCTTCAATTTGGAAAGGAGAAAGCTAAGGTGGAGGGGAATACAATAGAGGCCTGTAACATCATGAAGGGTGTAAAGTAAATAGGGAAACGTTATTCCCCAAGTCCCAGAATACAGAAACTACTCCTGAAGTTGTCAGAACATGGACCTGCCCCACCTCCCTTTTTTTTTTTTTTTTTTTTTTT